TTTTTTTGATTTTTTTTTTTAAATTTCCGCCCAAGCTACATTTGATGATTTTGTATAAATTAAATTTGAAAATTCGGTGCAAATCGGCTATGTTATTTAAGAAAAGTATATTTGTTTGGAATTTCGAGTAAGACTTTTTACATTTGAAATTTTTTAAGATTTTTAAATTTTTTAGAATCATGTGAAATCTTAAACTTAAATGTGAGATTTCTCACCAATAAAGAAGCTTTTTATGCCGTCTCACTACTTCGCTCACTTCTCCGCTTTATTGCGGAGATTTCGTATAATTATTTTTATTTAAAAATGTCAGCAGATCTTAAAAAATTTTAACAAATTCTAGTCTCAAATAAATTAGATATCTCAGGATTTTGTAGACTTTTTAAAATCTTAAATAAGACTTTTAAAAGTTAAATAGTTTAAATTAAATACACCATGAGTTTTAAAGTTTTAAAAAATTTAATTGAATACATCCCCTTAAATCTCTTTATATATTAATTTAAAACGTGCTGATCCTAAGTGATAGATATGAATTTTCTCTTACATATACAAAGTGAAATAATCTCTCTTATGTATACAAAATGAAATTAAAGTTTATTAATCAAAATGAATTGTATACGAATTTAATTATCGCATATGGCAAAACCAATTTGTTAGGAAAAAAATGAAATTTAAGTTTAATGTACAGAGTGAATTGTATATATATTTTGTTTCAATTTGTAAGTCACATCCTCGTGTGTATTTGACAAAGTTTTCTATTGAAATGAATTATTTATTTACTGACATAAAATATTTTATTCACATCTCAATATTTTTATACTACCATGTATAGAATGAACCATTTATAAAATTCTAATTTCTAAAATCTGTTAAATTTTCAAATCTGTTTATGGAATCAACTGAGGGTTAGATTTATTATATATCAATTTTAAAATTAGTGTTCTAAAGTTTCAAAGATCCTTTCATATCATAATTCTAATTTATGTAAAACAAATTAGAATATTTCCGTTTTTTTAATGTGTTATACCAAAATTATTTTTTTCAAAACGTGTGAATTAAAAATTTGTTGCTACAAAATTTATTTTCATATCATAATAATTATTGTGCAAATCAAATTAGAATACTGTCATTTTTTATTGATATTATACCAAAAATATATTTTTTTCTAAAAAAAAATGTGTGAATTAAATTTTTTTAATATGAAAACTTTTGTTTAAAACTCATTTTTAAGAATCCTAGTCTATAAGGCATCAATAAAAATGCGTGAAAATCATAGTTTTTAAACCCAGCCCGGTAATCGACCCGGGCAGGTCTTCGGGTCACCGGGTCACCGGTTCAACCGCCGGGTCACCGGGTTAATTGCTGAACCGGATAATTAATTTTAAAATTTATAAAATTATATATAGAATATTTTGTGATATATAAATATACATAAAAACAACAAATTTAAATATTTTGTATGTAAAATTTGTAGATTAAAGTGGTAATAACATATATATATTTATTATATAAATATATACCTAATTTTATTTTTAAAAAGAAAAAGAAAATTTAAAAACAAAAAAAAAAAATACATATAGACCGGGTCAACCGGGTTGACCCAGCCGGGTCAATGCCCCGGGTCAATGCCCCGGGTCAAGACCGGGTCGACCGGGTTTTGACCGGGTTTTATCGGGTCCGTTGTTGCCCGGTCCAATTAACCCACCCGGACCGGTTCCGGCTCCGGGTCGACCGGGTCCCGGGTCGACCCGCCGGTCCGGTCCGGGTCACAAAACAGTGGTGAAAATAACAATATTTTCATATATATATATATAGGGTTGGGTTCACATGAAAATGATTCTTAGTGAAAGAAATAAGAATAAATGATAGTCATTAGATCAAATGATCTAATGGCTAATAAAAATGCCTTCATTAATTTCATTAAGGGTAATGTGGTAATATCTACGTACAAACAAGGGACCCACAATCACAACAAGGCCTAAACCCACGTGGGTCACTTGTCTCCTCACTTCACCAACCCCTCTCTCTCTCTCACACACAATCCCACACATCAACCCTCTCTCACACACATAGCACATTGACTGTGCAACATCATTACTCCTCTCTCTCACATTTGCCTCTCTCTCACACACCACAGACTCAACCCACACGCACACACACAATACTCACACACACACATGGCCAAGACACCTCCGACCACCGCCCACCTCGTCGCCGACCACCGCCCATCTCGCCGCCGACCACCAGCCATCATCCATCGCCGTAGACGTCGCGTCCCCACACAACAGCCGCAACCACCGCCGTGAACTCCCGTCGCCCGTGAACAACCACAACAACCTCCATATCCAACCACCGGCCATGTCGATTTACTGAATGGCGTACTTCGCCGGAGGTCAGAACTCACGGCGAGCCCGACGTGAGCTACGCAGGTCGCACATGTGTCGACGGCGAGCTCACCATGACAATCGTCGTCGACGGACGACTCCTCAGGTCCGACGTTGACGGGAAGCTCCATAGGTCCGGCGTCGTCGGAGGGTCCCCGTGTGCTTGCCCGAGAGCGAGTCCTGCCGGAAAAAATGGGTGAACTTGGACTGTGAGATTGGGACTTATTTTTGAGAATTAGGTTATATCTAGGGACCTATTTGAAATTTTCTTAATTTTAACTTTATTTCAATTTTACCCATAGGTCAAATCTGTTATTATTGAAAGTTAATAATAAATTATTTTTATTTATATTGTTATGCATATATGTTACATAATAAATAAAGTATTAAATAGTTAGTATAAAATATTAAAAAAATATATAATAATAAATAAATTATGTAATGAAAAATAATAAATAAAATATATCTTTATTATTTAGGTTAATTCAATGTAAGATTATATCTAGTGTTCGAATACAAACAATTTATTTGGGAATGTATAAATTATTGCACTTTATGTAGCGAAAAGTTGCACTTTACAAAACAATATGTTGCACTTTATAAAACAACACGTTGCACTTTGTCACCACATCCTCCCTATATATAATTCCTGAATGCGCTGAGCCTACGTGGCTGCTTTTGGTGCTTCAGAATCCTATTTGGCAAAGAATCATGCTTCGTAATTAGGTTTGGACAAATAATATTAATATATTAATAATTAATAATCTAGGTTCGGGTATTCCATAAATATTATTTAACTAACTTAGGTATTTTAATATCACTTTTACTAATATAACCCTTTAATTATTTGTAATTTTACATAGTGAAGCACTAAGTGACTAATATATCCCTAAATTTTGATTTGCTTCCTTCAATAAGCTATTGAATTATAAATGTATTTTAAAAGTTGATAATTTTTGTATTTCTTATCGGTTTTACATATATAATATATCAAATTAATCATCTTTTGATGATCTTCGATTTGACATCTATATTGTATATATAAAATAAATAAATTGTATTTATCTTTATAATAATAAAAAATAATAATATTTATTATAATTCATTAGAAAAATAAAATTATTTCTCAATTGATATATTTATATTTAATGTAGTTATATATTGTAAGTTATAAAATTAATATAATATAACACAAGTAAGTCACACAAATAAAAAGTATCATAATAAATATATAATAATATATATATTCTAATAAAAAGTATTTAAATTTTCAAACTACTTTTTCTCATTAATTTTAAATTTTAAGAAAAAAATTAGCAAGACCCGTGTAATACACGGGTATTGTACTAGTTGCACAATTAATGTCAACAGGTCTCGCCAAAAAATGTTACGCAATATAGATCTAATAAACGGATCAACATAAATAATTTAATATATCCATCATATCACTTGTCCAAAAAAAAAAACACATGTATGCTAAGTTGCTAACGTACCAAAATTTCAGTATTGCACTTTATATATCAGTATGTTGCACTTTATACACCAATACGTTGCACTTCTTATCATATTATGTTGCACCTTATAAAACAACACGATGTCATGCAAAAAATACAATAATTATGATATCGAACAAATAATATTGGTGGTTAAATGTTGGATTTAGTTTTTTTAAAATATACAAAATAGCCGGACATGTCGAAATATATGATATTATTCAAAAAAAAACACTATTTTTTTTTATCTACATTATTTATGTGTTGCGATTGCACATTATGACTATACGTATTGCACCTGATTGACTACCGGATTGCACAAAATCGAACAAGATCCAACCAACAAAAAACAAATGAAAAATATTAAAATATTACTTAAGATTTGTTAATTACAAATTGTACCATGACCTAAATTGAAATATACTAAAAAAAACTGAAATTCTAAATATGCCCCTAGATGTCATCTAATTTTCAAAGACAAGTCCCTCCAAATCACCTCACCAATCCCGTCACCATCTATGAACGCCGGTCAAAATTCACGGCACTGCTGTCGGCGTCGCAGCCGGCGTCGCCATAGGCATGAGCTTGAATATGCTCCGCCGCGTCGGAGCGGAGGTGCTCGCTCCCAAACCTCAATTTAATTACCGAAATCGGAATAAAATATTTATAATTGGTGCTCAATTTAGGGATTTACAATAGTGACGACGAGTGGCGGATGAGAGCAAATGGACGTGATGGAGATTGCGGTGGCTTGGAACAGTCGGCGACGACAGCCATAGGCGGAAGAAATCATCGGAAAAGCTGGTTCAACGGCGGCGCTGAGTTCTACGGTGGAGGTTGTGATGCCGAGGAGAGGATGAGGTAGACGTTGGACCGAATCTC